AAAGAACAAAAGAAAAGAAAAATATATTAACGACTTAGAAAAGAATGGATGAAATGAAGAAAAGAAGAAAGAGAAAAAAAACGAAAAAAAACAAAAAAGAAAACAAAAAAACAAAACAAAACAAACAGACATACACACAAAACAACCACAACAAAACAAAGCAAAGCAAAACTAACTAACTAAAAAAAAAAGAAAAGAATGAGAAAAGAAAAGAAATCTGATTAATTTTAAATATCTAAAGAAACAGATTGGCTCCAAAACTGCAACTTCTTAAGATAAAAGATTTATCATGGCTTATAGCTTTTTTAAATTCACTCTGTTTTTTCCAATTAATGCTGTTTGTCAAACCCCTAAAGTATTAACTGACTTTTCCCTTTTCTTTTCTTCTCAGTATTTATTTCTGTTGTGGGTACCACCGGCAATGGACTTGTAATAATGGTTGTTAAACGCCTACAGCATCATGGCAAGCGTTCCARTGTCCACACATTTCTCCTGCATCTGGCCTTGTCTGATCTTCTTGTGTGTATTGTCTGTATTCCACTGACAATATTGGTCAACTTTCTTCCGGCAAAGGCCCACAGCTTAAGTAGTAACATTACTTGTAAGACAATGCGATTTCTCCAGGTAAAGAGTGATATTTTGTAAGAGTTAGCAAGTAAGCTAGGAAGCAAACGAACGATTAACCGAACGAATGGAAGAGACTGACGAACGGGTAAACGGACGGATGGAAAGGCCAGGCGAACAGATGSACAGACGGATGAAGAAACGGACAAACGAACAGATGGACAGAGGGGGCACTAGAGAAAAACGTTTGCGCATTCGTGCACTTCAGCACGTATTCTAAGAATTTTGAAAAATTTTCAAGTGAGAAAATAAATGTTAGTTTTCCCCAAGTATACGAAACATTTCGCGAGTACACTTTTGTCGGACCAAGATACTATATTAACAAACACAAATATGAAAGAATTAGCCCTAAGTTTCAGGCATGGACATTAAGTTTTGGCATTTTGTTAAGTCCAATTTATCAGGCATGTTTGAAAGTCAACAAATTTACATGCTTTGAGTAATTTGCATACGGRTTCAGAGCATGCGCAGACGTTTTTCACTCGTGTCGACAGACGGACAGACGCGGATGAAGGAACGAACAAATAAATATAATCAAAAATATTGATTTTCTTTCTACAATGTTCACGACTCAATAATCAAAAAATGAAATAGGATTTAATTTGTCCCTTATAAAAACCATTCATATTTGTTTCTGTTTTTCTCGCTAGTTCTTGGCACCAACCATTTCCATCATGTTGCTAACGGTCATCAGCATCGACAGATATTTTGCCGTGGTACGACCCCTTCACAACAAAATCTTCCTACGAAAGCCAAAGGTCATGGTTTGCATAGCATGGCTCATCTCCATTATTCAATTTCTACCTACATTCCACTTTTCCAAGGTAGTAAACCTTAAAAGAAATAACCACACTATTGGATACTGCACTCCAATTCCTTACAACACGAAATCTGGATACGGATTTCTACTTTTTGTCGCTATCTTTTCTTTCGTTCTGCCATTAATAATCATTTCACTCATGTATGGGCTGATTATTCGTGTGGTATGGTTCCGCCATCAACAACTTAATGAGACTTCATCGACCAATAGAAACAACGGAGAACAACTGTTCCGAAAATCCAAAAAGAAAGTCCTTCAGATGTTAATGATAGTGGTTGTGGCTTTTATCTGCTGCTGGCTGCCATTTGTGATATATTGTGGATTCATTGAAGTTAACACGGCGACGTTTCCAAATCCAGTTGACATCGTCCGCATTGCTACATACTGTCTTGCTCTCTTCAACTCTATTTTAAATCCATTTATCTATTTCTTTTCCAATACCCTGTTGMGGAATGCATGCATAGATTTGGTCTTCTGCAGAAAATTTACCATGCCAAGCACCAGTAACTTCGGCATTGGAAGTCCCAGCTTAACGAAGAAACTTTCTAGCACTAGGCTATCGCTGTCCCCTAATATGAATACCTATCTTACTGATCGACGTGGTCGTCAYAGCGTACACTCAATGCTGCTMGCCAAAGCGGATARCTCTAAGGATCCATCTCCATTAGGAAGAACTCGGAGGCTAAACAATGGGTTAGGTGCTAGTTTAAGGCGCCAGGGATCGTTGCCAATAATAGCTATGAGCGATAGTCCGTGGATGAGGAGAGCTGCCGATAGCCGACTTTCACCTGGTGTGGACAATGTAGGTAGAATGCCGAAGCAATTGCCTACAAGGACTACAATGGAGGATCGCGAAATGACAACTTTCATCTAAGTATGCTTATGAATGAAAGAAATTATATGACGAAGAAATGCACTTTGACATTTAAAAAAAAACCGAATCGCAATATTAAGTTGTTTGGTATTYAACACAGTGGCGGATCCAGGATTTTTCAAAGGGGGGTTCCGTTTCTTAAACTGTGTATAATTCTCTTTTGTTTAGTCGATGTCTGACAAAAAAATTGGCTCTAATCRCCTAATTTACTATCTAGTAACGGAGCTTAAAGGTAAATTAAACATTATAACAGCAAATATTTATCATTTCGTGTTCAACATTATCCTTGTGGATACTTTTAAGCAAAATTTATATAAGACATATTTCTGTTACCTAAAAGATCAAACCTTCAAGGGRGGTTCCGTGAAACCCTTCGAACCCCCCCTGGATCCGCCACTGCAACACTACAAGCGGAGGATGAGGAAAAGAACTTTTATCTAAGCATTAATAAATCAATAAACTGTAATTGTAATTGTAATTGTAATCCGTACGTGTGAATAAAAGACATGACGTAAAAATGCGCTATTACATTWAAAAAAACGAATCGCAAAATTAAGTTGTTTGGTATTCAACACTACGAGAACCACAACGGAGGATCTGGAAAGACAACCTTTATCTAAGCGTCCGTAATAAATGAAGGAAATAATGGCGGGAAAATGCACTAGAACATTAGGGGGGAAAAAACAAAAATTACACACACACACACACAAATAACAAAAACGAATGGGTAAACTTGTACTGAGAATAAGTAAATTACTACAATCAAATGAGCAAAGGCTTTACAGACTTACCTCATTGTCTGTCAAAGGTATCTTTGATGGTTGATGATTTCCATTGTCCGTTGCCATAACAACTACCACATCAATTCATAGATCTAGATTTCTTGCATTGCATTCTGAAAGAAATTCTATCTATCATATACCAGCTGAGTTGACCTTCAGAACGAGCTCAAGGTCAACCAATCAGAATTTAGAATTCAACACTGTACGACACTCTTATTATATTATTCGCCATCTTTGTATGCCTGGATTACTTCGACGATACGGCGGCCATGTTGGATCGCAAGGCCGTTCCAGCGGGCAAATATTGCTATGTTACAGTAATGATGCGATAGATATTTAAACAGCTCACCACAAGAGAATACAACAAAGATGAATTAAGACGGCACATTGATAATCTTTACCCATAAGAGAAAGACAAACCCACGACACTTTATATTCTTTGTTTTGCCTCCTGACAAGATGGCCGCCGTATCGCCAAAGTAATCCACTGATTTGCTCCCTGGCCCTCCCACAATGTCTTAAATGCATTGCCGCAGCTCGTAGAAGTAATATAACAAAAACTGAAATTTWAAAAAATACAACGCGAAAAATATAAATTGTGCTATCACCAGGTACAAAAATTGAGGCAAAAAAGATTGAAACTGAAAAAATAAAGCAAAAATATGAAATTGTGTTACCAATGAATAGAAAAATAGAGGTATAAATGYAACGACTAAAAATTGAGAAGAAACAGAAACAAATAACGAAAACCAAGTATAGCACTTTAGCAATATAGTTTCTAGTTGCAGTGAAAAACTATTTATTCTTTATTTCGCTATACTTTATTAAGAATGKAAGTAAAAAAAGTCGTTTTGCACTTTGTAAATATAAATAAGCTACTTTGAAAAACTTCAGCTTACTTATAGTAGAAAATTACGAAAAAACTATTTATAGTCGTCCCGAGGTTGGAAAGACTGAGTCGTGTTGGCGCTGCAGTGCATTGTGGAATTGTTTTAATGGAACAAGTAGACGCCATTTTGGAAATATGTCCCCTGTAGCGACACGAGTGAAAAACGTCTGCGCATGCTCTGAATCCGTATGCAAATTAGTCAAAACATATGCAAATTTGGCTTTCAAACATGCCTGATAAATTGGACTTCACGAAATGCTAAAACTTAGTGTCCATGCTTGAAACTTAAGGCTAATTCTCTCATATTGTGTTTGTTAATACCGTATCTTGGTCTGACAAAAGTATACTCGCTGTTTACTGTGTTTTGATTATCGCTTGTTTATATTGTTCGATGTATTGTGTGAAAAATCGAGTAATTTTCTGTTCCGTAATTTGTTAATTTGCTTGTTTCCTCGTTACATTCATTTTTCCTTCCTTTCTTTTTTCTGTCTACCTGTCTACTTAGTCTGCCTGCTTTGTTTTGATAAGTTTTTCGTTTAAATAATTACCTCTATATCTTATACCAGCCCTTCATTTCCACACTCTATTACTTCTACACTCTCATACGGTTGCCCCATTCCTTATGCCCCGTCCACACGTATCCGAAAATTTTTGTATCCGCAAATTATTTTTTGCGGATACGAAAATGTTTGCGTCCACACGCAGCGTATTCGAATCGTTTTCACCGTCCACACGTATCCGTTTTCGTAAAATTTGCGGATACGGACACAAAAATTTGCGGACACGTGTGGACGCAACCCGTATCCGTAAAAATAAATTTTGCGGAAACAAAAATTTGCGGATACGTGTGGACGGGGCCTYATTCACATAATTTTAAATTTCTGTCTTACGTTTGATAATATATCAAAATTTGAATATCAAAAAGCTGTACATTCCAGAAAGTAGAGCAATAGACCTCCTCGGCTCTGGAGCGCTCGAGCGTAATGTTGTCCCATTTCAGACAACGTGTCATTCCCTTGAGAATAATATTCTTTGTTTGAGATGTATCCATATTCATGTGTCTTCTCTTGTACAACCGTTAAACAAAGAAATGATGCTCAAGGGAATGAATGACACTCGGCATGCGCCAGCGACTTTTCAGCGGTCGATAGTTATCTGTAGCAGTTATCGGCAAAAACAAGCCTGTCTGTAGGCTGTTTTTTCCCGCTCATTTTTATCCACGGCTCAACATGGCGCGTTTTACTGAAACAGATGCTCATGTGCMACCGAGCGCAAACCTGAAACAAAGAAATGATACTCTAGGGAATGACACGTGGTCTGAAATGGGAAAACATTACGTCAGAGCCGAGGAGGTCTATTCTTTCTTTCCTTTCGCAGGAAACACCCATTCATTCCTACCTGCATGTTTGTCAAAGCTTCCTACTTGCTTACCTATTCTTCAAAATACGAATGCATAAGTTATTACATGCCAAAAGTGAATGTACGTATATGTTGTTGTTCTTTTGTCCAAACGAGGTGCCGAAATGTTAGGAACTATATTTTTTCACTATAAAACTTTGAAATARCTTTAGCCCTTTCCCTAGCTTCTTGTCGAGTGGGGTTGTCCCCGAGAACCAAGAACTGTAAATCAACCTGAAAGAAATACGACAAGTTCAGCTATGTTCAATTTTTTGTTTTCAACCATTCCCAAGAGAATYAAATAACAAAAGAMACGGCTGCCATGTTGGTGGATATAACAAAAGAATTCATTGACAATTCTTTYGTTAAGTTCCTCCAACATGGCAGCCGTGAAACCCATCAATATTTAGTCGACACCAAATTCAAAAATCATTGTCTGGTACGAATGGTTAATCATCGAAGCTAAGACCGAGGGGTATACTRGGTAGTAAATATCCTGGGCATTTGGAGTGTTTACATACAGAAAYATGTAAAGAATGCATAACTTTAACAATACAATTAGTGTATGTGATAGGACTCCATGCTGTCCAATTAAGAAAATAATTGGACAGTTACCT